TGTAAATGCATTATTTGTTTACATTCAATTTGAACACGCGCTGCGCGACGACCGCCCTTTAACGGTTCCCATTACAGCGTACGTATAAAGAAGGCGTACTCTAAACATGCAATCATGACAGAAACTAGAGTATTGACGAGAATGGACGTGAGAAAACATGCTTTGGTTTGCAAATTGTTCAATGATAGCCAACATGCTGAACTTTCTCAAAACGAAAACATTTCGATTCTTTCCCGTCATCAGTCTTTTCCGTCATCAGTGCTGCCAGTGAATTCTGGTTTCACGGAACGAGGCACTTCTACAGTAACTTTTTATACGTTTATTAAAATTCATGCACCGAATGCACCAAGCCGTAAGGAAAAGTCATATTGTTAGGCAATATCCGACACTGGAATCGAGTGAAACACGTCAATACAAGTTATCTGATTGATTGCAATAAACGGACCAATAGGCGATTTAATTTTAGCAGCTGTATTGTGATTTCATACTCACATTTTATTGAACGATTGGTGGCATAATCTATCATTGCGTGTATTATTTGCTTCTGTTACAATCAGAAAATGCGGAAAGTGAAAATATGCGAATGCGTCACTAGGAATTTAAACATGTTATTATCGCGAAACGCGGAAACATTTATTGTTATATGAAATAAATTCTCTCAAAACGCAAAATGGAAATGACGGTAGATACTCCAGTGTTTGATCAGTGCCTGCATGAATAAATCGAACGATTTATGGATATAAAAATGTTATAAATAATTGTTTCTGGGGTTCTGCCAAAATAATAAGTTAGCTAGAATTGACTCATATCATTCATTGTACAACTGTTACATCATTTTGTACTTTGAACAATGTAAACGTGAACCAGCGTAAAGAAATGTCACCTTTGTCTATAGTCATTCTATCCGCAACAATATATGCACTAATAAGTCGTAATAATAACAATTTCCTGGTCTCACTTATTGTAATACTGTTTGTTTTGTAGTAACATTTGATATCACAGTATAAAAGTAATCAGGCACGATTATATTTGCATATAACCTGTTATAAGTAGTGATTCACAGATTGAATATAATGAACTAGTCCATGAGTTTTAATTACCATGCATCGTAGCAAAATATAGCATTTACGTCCGAATAAAATATGTTGTTGTCATGACATCTAGATCGTTTATTTACGCCCCCTTGTTATACTTTCGCTTTGGCTTGGAGTCAAATATGTTTTACATATATATTTACTCGACTTTCTGCATTGTGGAGAACACGTGCTTATTTCTCCAGCTCCATTAAATTAATATTAGCAAGCTACGTTGGAGAGTGGCTGGTAGAGTGTGACAATTGCAATATATTTTTATCTTGTCTGAACATATCTTTTTTTATGTAGTTTGCCTACAAATTTTCTTGCAACGCCTTGCATGCACATCTTTCTCTATTGGTGTTTAGCTTGCATTTTTAACAAATCTTCCCACCCCCGTGATTTCAAATGGTCGACCCCGAAACGACATTTTCAACTTTGCTCATTTAAAAAGCCTATAATTACAGAAATGTCAATTAGAGAAACAGCCTGCAATTAATCATGAACTACAACACATAGCAACACGTTAACATCGGTTCCATGAATGGTCGTTATTGCGCTCTATAAATGAGCACATTAATAGCATTACCAAACTAAGCTAGTGATGTAACGTAACGTATTAACTTGTCCGTTTCCGTAAATTAGACGTCACTCATCGCGCGCTTATATTCATGTAAAATAAACAAAGCGCTGTGTACGTCGTATGGGACCCACATCGGACACCGCGCGGCGCCACGACTATGCATTCCAATCACCCACAATGCACCTGTTAACGTATGCAAAGCGCTCTCATCGCTGTGTTCGAATATCAAGTAAACAACAATTATATATTAGACGCGTTATATACGTCGCCATGGTTCCCATATCGAACAGGACGCGGTGAGACATTATTTATTTGACTGTCAAATAATTTATATCTTAACATGTTTGGCTCATAATAATTTACATCCTCCTGTTTCCACTTACTTTTCAATTATTTCTTTTTTCGATTGTTTTTTTTTTCACACACTATGCTTTATACACTGGATGCAAATGAAAGTATTGATGTAATAGAGAGCTACTGAGTACAGTTTTAAATGTTTAGCCAATTGTTGAAATATAAGCCTCTCATTCCCAAATAAGTGAATGTGTAAAGACAATTGATTTTCCGAGGTAATATTATATATGAGGGCGTCATCTTGAAAAACGAAAACAAGTTGTACATTTGTAAACGCAATGTTCCTACTTATACAAAAGAACGACGAAATAAGACAAAACCCCAAATCCTTTTGGCTAACTCTAAACCTGCTGCTGACAAAACTCAAAATCACAGTCACGTTACTAGGCAACAAGCACCATTTCAATAATACGATGATATCATACACACGCACATCACGGATTTGCATCGTGTTTTGCTAATGTATTTAAATTATAAACCACGTACACATATGGACTTAGGGTAATGAAGTCATAACAGCGATATCAATTATCTGTGAACGTGTATATATACAATTTAAATAATCAAAAAGCATTTAAAAGGATTTAGAATATTCTATCATTGTAATGTGTTGATAATAACCTTCCAAACACATGGGCAGCCGTTATTGAAATCCCAAGATAATTATTATTATTGGTTTACATATGGATTTGAAATAATCTCCAACAGAATGTAATGTGTTTTACCTCTAATAATGAAAGATCAAGATCAAACATTATAATTCGAAATTCCAAAAACGCAAAATTTTCCAATTAGATTGCCATGCATTTTGGGTTAGACGCATATGAATAACCATAGGTAAATATTAATATAATATAATGATAATAATAATAATTCTGTAACTAAATACACAATGAGCAATTGTTATGTACTTATGAATATATATGCCCAAGTTTCCCAGGATTCAAACGAGTCAAAATCCCCGGAAAAATCATTCTATATATCAATCAGGGTTACCATGGAGATTAGAAATCACAGTCGCTGATATTTCTCATTTATACTGTTTAGTGCCATATCAAACCTTAAGCGTGATAAAATAAACGGTAGATGTGTATATATGAGAATGACACGTAACATTACGCTATCATGGTGAACATACCATCGCATCAACGAGCTCGTCGTCATAGTCTATTTTCATGCGTCTCGACGGCTCCCATATGTTTATTGTGACAATAATCCAAATCACGTGTCCTTGTCACTGTCAAATGTTAACTCACACTAGATACTTAACAAGGAAAGAGTCAGGTATAACGCAGAAAATCTAAGTTTTCCCATATTTTGGGTATACCTATTTTGTAATATATGTTTACAGTTACACATTTTTGGTAATAAACACACCGACGATTAAAACACTACACACATCCGAGTGTCAAGTAAAATAAAAATAAATAGTCAGAATACACCGTAACATGCATTTTGTACAGTAGTGTGTACGAATATGCATGTGATTTATCAACCGTGACATTTGAGTGAACCTTAAACGGGTTCTTTCATAATTAAACACATTATGCTGTTGCTTTGATTCGTTTCCATGGTTGACCGATGTTTCACGGAAAATTACCATCATTACCAACATGTACCGCACTTGTGTTCAATGGGCGCAACGGCAGATTAATAAGAGCATTTTTAAATTATTACACGGCAAATAACGATTTATGTCTAAGAATGCGGAACATCAGACAAAATATTAATTACTTTCACATTTATCTCCTTCCGTAAGTATTATATACATGGTGTCTTGTGCTTGGAGAAGATCGTATCATTTGTGTTGTGCTGTCACAGTGACTATAACATTATACCACGACCGGTGTTGAAGACATACTAATATAATACAACGTTTATTCCACCATGCGTATGCAAAAATATACTCTTTGTATTTAATTATGCGTCTCAGATTCACATATGTGTCAAATTCAGCGTAATCAAACACAATTTCACAAATGATAATGCATAAAAGTAGGAAAAAAACACCATTCCCACCTCCATAATAACAAAATGTCTAACATGTAAGAGAGAATTGATAAAAATTCAGCAAGTACAAATAATACAATAACAATAATAGCATATAAAACAGAAACATATATCCAGAAACACAGAAATCTAGGAATTGAAAAAAAGGGTGCATGTTATTGTTAAATAAATGATGTGACATATATTCATATTTCGTGGACCATTTCCTCGCATTTCTGATGGCCATCCATCAATTGAGCTACAACTAATGAATATCAATACAACAGGGCGGATATATAATCTTCAGGTCGATGGAGTGTAAACTAATTGTTTTTATCATAGTTTTGCGTTGACTGAAGAGACACAATAGTTAAATTAACGCATGAGTTTCCAACACAAGTACCCAATCCATCTTTCTAGCTGACAGAAACCGTGTTGAAATAAACTAAAGTATTCTATCTCTGCTCTGCTGCTCTCTGCTTCTGCTCCGCCCACACCGCTCCACCACACTCCAATCCGCCCACACCGCTCCACCCCACACCACTCCACTCCGCTCCACTCTACTCTACCGGAACACTGCATGCAGATCGACAATTTCTGTTTTCATATTGATTTCAACCGACCAAAACCGTAACAAAAATCTTGGTAAACTAAGTACATATTAATATTTCACACCTGCGTTTACGTTCGTCTAAAGTGATTTTTAAGTTTTGTTGATGTATTAATTTTATATCACCATTGTATTCTATTGTATTCTCTATAACTGGCACTTATACTACATACACCGAACATCTGAAAGTACTTAGTGTTTTGACATCTAGTTTATTAATCATTAATGGAACCATCGCTCATACAATATGATACTGATACCGTTGCTGAAAAATGTTTTTGTCCCCATGGAGACGCGATATTAATTGCTGTTGTCGCCCTAATGGTATGAATACGTTTTATAGGATAATTAATATTAATCTAAACACGGCAAGACAGGGATCACACTCAGTATGGCGATTCTTATATTCATATCGCGCGTATTTGTTTTCGCAACTTATGTTCGAGTTACGCTTTGCAAAGGTTTTGGAGGTGGTGACGATGGTTTTTCGGATGAAACAACATCTGTCCAACCCATCGTTGCAGGCATCTGTGGAGCGAATGAATATTTATGTGACGTCGTAGTGTGTATACCAAATTCTTCGTTCTGTGATGGAGTCGTGGACTGTGCTGATGGTACAGACGAAGTGATAGGATGCCGTAAGTATGATATTATATCTGTTGCAGTGTGGCAAAGAAACAAAGATAAAAGACATTAACATTCATATTAGATTACCTGTAGCTATTTTCTCTTTACAACTCATCGAGTTGTCAAAGACGTATGTGAATAAGATAACAAACAAATAAAAGTGTATTTTTATGTTGTTTCTTACATATGTTCGTTGAAAGCGTTTGCCTCGACAGTTGTGAAATTGGTTTGAACACACTTCTTCCTCAATTTGTCACGTCTTGAAATGGTTAATCCAATATATGAAATACATAAAAACAGTGGTTTCAAAGACAATCATATCTGTGACATCCGTTTTCATCACTGTTTAGAATCAAGCGATTATGACAATTAAACTTCGTGTGTTTGTGTGTGCTTGTTTTTCGTTGGGATGAGTCTGTATAACAGTATGGCATTTGATATCGAATGTTGCAAGAGTGATTCCATACAAATCTGTAAAATTATGCACACAATCATGCTTCAAAAATCCAGTTCGCTTTAAATTGAAACTGAGTGATACTCGATTGCGTAACGCTAATATGACGCACACTATATATCTGATATGACCTAATACACATTTTAAGGCTATCCCCGTAGCTGTGCAGTATCATGATATACCCTCAACTAACCGCCACGGCATCTGTATACACCAAGTCAACATTTTAAGATGTTATTGAATTAATTGTACATTAATGATTCGAATAATAGAAGAATACTCAATCAATTATGCAGAATTATCAGTGTAAACAATATATGTTTTGTCAAATGTAATACACGCATATATACTTATTTTTCATGCATACCAATGAAGTTTGTTTTTCGTTAGATACTAATCAACAGAGCAATTATACTTTAGGTATTTTAGTTGACCCGCAAAACGACAAGTGCGACTGTAATACGGGTTTACTAACTAGAAAATTTGCGAATGCGCTGTACAATTAATCTAGATATTTTTGAAAAAAAAAAATTCATATCCAAAATTGTGTCTCCCCTATGATTATTAGATCATCAATACAGACACTTAACCTTCTCGGTTTAATGTTTTTCCATTATATAGCGTTTTGCCCACCCGATAAGTTTACCTGTGATGACTTCACCTGTATCGAAGGAAACTATGTCTGTGACGGATTCGTTGATTGTCCTGACAACTCAGACGAGGAAGCTTGTGGTAAAAGATTCAATGTCGCAAATACCAACATCACTGTTTCCAGCACCATCTTTCTACTTCTATATTTCTGGATTCTTTAGCATCCTGTATTTTAGTGCACTAACATTAAACGTTGAACTAATTAATTAAATTAAGTACACAATAAAACATCATACGTAGCTATACAAGCTGTGCAGTAGTATTTCCATAAATATATTCACTTTATGTAAACTTAGACAAATTTAAGCGTTTATTTTGTTTCTTATTAGTCATTTTAATCACTTAAGAACACATTTTTGCCTATTCACAATACCACTGTCAATTGAGTATTGCTTTCACTTGCTTGGGACACACGTTTAACGGGCTATAGGTAAACATCAAACTGTGTTATTTCCAGTCTTAATCAAATTGTGAATTGCTTGATCTTTTGTATTGGGGGAATGTGCCGGCTACTTAAATCACATTAATTTAAATATGTAATCAGTTGTACAACTTTAAAAATTGCAAGTGCAAGTTGTACACGCAACGCAGTTTTGACTCTGTAACGGTTACCCCATTTCATCGTTTTACATGGCAGGGTTGGAAGCTCGTTCTTTCGTATAGAGGAACAGTAATGCGCCAACCCAGATCATGCCAAACTACTTTAGAGTGAGGTTTCCTAAATCTCTTTCAGTAGTTTCATCCTGTGGTTATTCATTGTGTGTCACACTATTCGGATGTACGGGTTGAATCGTGTTTGCATTGATCACTATAGTTGAATACAATACCTTCTTACTATCATGCAACGTCATAACGTGAATCCCATTTTTTTTCAATATTATGTAGTTACCACCGGACAACCAATAACTACTACCGGTGTGTCTACTGCTGCGCCAGGTAATTCATATCATGTTTGTGCAATCGTCAACGTGATGTCATAGTTCCCACGGTTTTAATAATTTTGGAGTGAATTGTATCCCCATTTTTCCCTGAAGAGAAAGTGAAACGTAATTTGTTAATTTTATTTGAGTTGATTAACGTCTATAATGTGTATCCAAAGCTCCGGGTCCGATGTTTTATTTGATATCACAAAGCATTAAACTTCAATTTTTTCAATGATTTCGTTTTTGTGTTGACGTGATTACCTAATATATTCAATGTACTTTCGGTTTTTCTATATTTTGAATTACATGTGTATTTTTGCCCACTTTTTGGTGTTTTGAATATTGAATAGAAGCCGAATTCCGGTGTTTTTGGTGGAATTAGTGCGAAAAAGTAGTTTTGATGACAACACAGAAAATAGGCATTAATAAATAGAAAACATTATTCGACAATAAGCCTTGGAATTTGTATTATTTGTGTATTCGATCAAATATGGTTTATATGACTTGCATCGTTTGCGTTTTAAATTCTTTATTGCCACCATGAAGAGGGAGATTGATGATGACGTACGCTCCTGTCGTGTCTACATGATGTATCACATCGATTTATTACCCGTCATTCTATGAAACTGTGTTGTATCATGCGATATTCGGGAAATGTGTTATAATAGTATAAACTTTTAGTTGTATTGTATATATGATATTTAGTGATTTATGGGTTGGAAACAGTTGTACATATACACACTATTGTTATTATGTTTCTTCTTGTGAATTCTGGCTTTGTGATAAATTACCTTTCCCACCTTTTTACCACGTATCTCGCGGGTCTACCCTAATAAAACAACTGATTGAATTCTCGCCATCATAGATTCAGTTTACCGTGGCAACGACGGGATTTCTTATATAATGGAGGGACATATATAACAGTAAATTAAATATTACTTCTCGTTATATCTGTTTAACCTTCTTGATTTCAACAATCGCATTACAATATGGATGGTGTATACGTCTACGTTATGTCACAATGACATCATTCTCTACGAAGAACCAGCAATAGAAACACAATAATATGATTCTGAATATGGATATATTATTATTATTTATAATTATATGGCGGTATTAGCATACAGCATTTATGTGCTATATACGCGTGTACCACCCCTGTATGGTTACCGTCTTAGAATCAATAACGCATTCACCAACAACAAACCGTGTTTTGTATCCTTGCCAGGAGTTACTTGCTCGAGTTCAGAGTTTACGTGCGATAACGGAGTTTGTGTGTCTGGTTCTATGTACTGCGACGACGATAACGACTGCGGTGATTGGAGCGATGAACCACTGGAATTATGCGCCGGTGAGCTTATGATAACACACTGTACAATGATATCTCATCAATATTAGTTATGTTAAAGGTAGCGACAATGGGAAGTAAATTAAACATTAGTTTATAATTTGGATATTCTTCATAATAAAATTTAGTTTGTTTAAAACACATACAAATAGGAATATATATATATGAATATACTTTCAGGAAGCTGGATGTATACTTCATCTATAAACGGACTCGTCTCATATTTCATTGTCTGTATTTGATTTTGCGTAACTGCGAAAAGATCCCAGACGCAAAACACCTTGATAGAATTCGATTAATAAATGAGTGCGTCGATAAATACCTTAGACACGACCTCTTAGTTAAACACATCAACTGAAAAGTTAATGGCTCAGGTTGTGAAATAAGCTGTTCAAAATATTCTCTTTGCGCATACAATTAACCTTTCCAAAAATCGAAAGTTTCCTCGCTTAGAACACCATGGTACAGGTCTACTCCGCGTTCATTAATTAACTTTCACGCAGAATGTTGACTGTAAAATCACATAAAACGACTGTCGCTTTCCTACAGTATATTTCACGTGTAAATCATTGAAAGCACATTTTTTGTGTGAATATTCACTACTTGTCGGCGATAGCACCATATAGTCTGTCGGAGTTTTGAGATTCGATGTGACAGCTATCGATCAAAATAACGAGGATAATACTTTTTAGAAAGATCAAAAACTCGAAATGCACTTCTATATTTCAGTTTTCCGGTCATGTATTCATTAATCGTTACATGCTTAGTAAGTTAAAGCTAACCCAATAAATGTACCTCCATGTCGCTACCATAAACATGACAATGTGTTACGTGATTACATGTATATCATATTGTTAGCATTTAGCTGATAGCGGTGTTTACATAATGTAGTTGCCTCTCGTCAAATAGTGGCCCTATATATAGTGCTTTATGCTAATTGCCATAGAAATATGTTAATGTTGCGTACATAAGTAATATCTATGTAATGATAAAGTGCATTCCAATCTTATTTATACGTTGTCACATAAATGATCATTTTATCTGACATAGCAAGACAATATAATATCATAAATATTCACTTTATTTTTCATAACTAATAATAATTTGATATATTTAAATATCATAATTCGATAGACAAGTTTTATAATATCAATTAATCACACGTTTACGTGTAATGCATTTATGAGGTTCATCTTTTAAAAATATAAATGCATTTCAATATATTTTTAATTTCAATATTTGTTCATTTAAATAATGGTGATAATTACCACATTGTGGACAATTTCAAATTACACTGTATTTAGTGTAATTTATAGTTAAACGATTTATATGTGAACAACCAAAACGCGTCTAAAGTATTTCCATAAGACCTTCAGTAATAAAAAGACGGATTTCGCCGTATGAAAACATTATTAGCCCAATTCCTCACATATTTATTTATAATTTAGTGTTTTCAATCAAAAAGTGAAAACGGAAGCATTTCCGAACTTTTCGAGCGACATATGATGTTTAATCTAACTCAAACAATTTCTACGAATTGATACTAACTTTATATTAATAAACTGTAGAATATATATTATAAATATTACAAACTAAATGTGTTGGTGTCTAAGAATACCTATTAATTACAAATTCAATACATAATCATTGTAACATTAAACGATCAGCATGTTATAAACAGGTCAACTTATAATTTAAAATAATTCAAATAAAAATGATAAGCTGTGATTGGAAAAATGCAATAACTCTTATTGGTTGAATGTTTTTTTTAAATTATGGTAACGGCTTTAAATAAATTTAATAAACTGCAAAAAAGATCCGAAATATTAGGTTTAAGCTGGTACTACATGACACGGTATTGTTAAGATAATCTAGTATAATTCAATCCCAAATAAGAGAGGTAAATATTAACATAAGTAGAAATATATTACGTAATTTAACAGCCTACAGAATGGAAGCTAGGTAATTCATTGAGAAAATATTTGTTGTGCTATCGGTTGTTTTTATTTTCTTTGTGCTTATTAAGTATAATAGATGTTTGGTTGTTATTTAATATGCCAAATAATTGTGTATTATAGATGGGTATATTAGTGCTGTATATATATATATATATATATATATATATATATATATATATATATATATATATATAGTAGTATTGTCTATAAGTATAGATGTAGGTGTAAAGTGGTGATAATGTACAAATACTTGTGTATGACTGTAATAATAATTATATCGAGGTAGTGTATGGTTAATAGCAGTATGAACATACTTGTAGTAGCATTGTGTCTTGGTGTGTAGTGTATACGTTCTGGCAAATGTAATATTCAAATTATTTGTATCCATGGAGACTGGTATTGTGACGACGGAGATGCAATTGCTACGTATAAACGTTGTGATAACGATTATGACTGTTTAGACGGGAGTGATGAGTTGAACTGTGGTAAGTATAGTCTAAGCGCAATGCCTAAACGTTACCATCATGTGCCAAATTACTGACTATATGCATTGTAATGTTGTTAGGTATATAATTTTAATCTCGTGAAAGAAGAACTGGTTTTATACTAAATATGTTTTATTATATAGCAATTTGTTTTATCTCAATCTTTTATTGTAAGAAAGTGTGGTAATTTACAGTACCACACAAAAGAGCATTTGAAAAAATGTCACTGACTAACCTCATTATTTATTAATTTTATTCAATCTACATATTTGTCATGATAAACAATATTAGCATTGCATGCAATACAAAAAGCTAATCATTATTAACTTTGAATATTCGAGTTTTATCTCGAGTATTTTCCACACGCGCAAATTATACCTGAACTTGCTCTGATTTCTGATTGCAAACAAATGTCGCAAAATATTAGGGATTGGAGTAGACAAGATGGACATGGTGTAAGTTATCAGTACTACTTTGTGTAGCACATGGGGCCACTAAGTACTGTACATGATTACCCTATAAAACACAGAGTGGCATCTTTCAGCGGAATGTAGCAGATTACTACTGTGTCTGGATACTCTAAATTTTCCTAAACTTCTATTGCATTAAACACACGCCCTCCACTAATCAATCAATCGTATAATCGGTTGTTTATTACTGATACTCTATATAAAACATGTGTTCTTGATGTATGGATGATGATAGTTTTTGTCAGTTGGGGCATATACTATCTTTATATCTGATGTACACATTTACAATTGTACACATTTATATATGTTTAACATGTTCATTTCGCGTCCTTGTACATTGACTGGAACAATTTGGAACGAGGATCCTATACTCACTCTCACAAATTGTGCATATATTTATTGATATATTTATCTGATTGAATTGCAGATCCCACAACAGTTTTGCCAACCACAACGTCATATATCTCATCAACTGGGGCCGGCGAAACTACTGTTTCTACAACGGCTGACCAAACTGATACTTCAACCGAAGCCAATAATCCATTTTCGCTTAGTTGGGGAACTACACCTGTTTCTACAATGGCTGAACAAACTGATACAACAACCACAGCCAGTAATCCATTTTCGCTTAGTTGGGGAACAACACCTGTTTCCACAATGGCTGAACAAACTGATACTTCAACCGAAGCCAATAATCCATTTTCGCTTAGTTGGGGAACTACACCTGTTTCTACAATGGCTGAACAAACTGATACAACAACCGCAGCCAGTAATCCATTTTCGCTTAGTTGGGGAACAACACCTGTTTCTACAATGGTTGACCAAATTGATACTTCAACCATAGCCAATAACCCATTTTCACTTATTTGGGGAAGTACGACCGTTTCCACAATGGCTGATCAAACCACATTAACCGCTACAGGTGAGATGACTGCTGTGCCAGTTATTGCACACACACCTTTCACCGTACCATTTTGATGTGGGTCTCAAAAGTTTAGATTTCCAGTCATATTATGCATACCATACTCACTATTACGTAATAAAGTACAAAACAATGACGATGGTAGCAATGAGCAGAAATTTGAAAAAAAAAGCAAATTAACAAGAAAAAGAAAAAAAACACGCATTTTAATATATTTAAATGCAGATGAATCTTGTAATTTGTAAATGTAACTTTATAATTTGTGTCCACTTTTTATCTTTCACTGTTAATGATATAACATAAAAAGCATAATTAACTTTCGATAAGTAAACATTTTCTAAAAACCTAAATTAAAAAAAGTGGATAATGACCTAGTTTGTGTGTAGACGTGTCATGCGATGTTGTTGCCTTTTACTTCTCTTATGCAAACATATGTTACCATGCTCCAAGTATGCCACTATATTCTTACCTAGTACATGTGTTCCACTTTTTGTAAGTATATCAATCGCAGAAACACACGTCTCATTCTCTCTCACCTAACTACTTGCTGTTTCACTAATGTACATGTCGAATGTGTTATCAATAATCTGTTGTCATTAATTGTTATTAATAAATTGGTAGGCATGCTATACCATTATTGGCAACTAGAAAATTTTGGAGAGTGCTAGGGGTCAGTTTTTGTTCAAAGATTCCATAATATACATAAATTACTACTATATATATAGGGGTTCTGCCGTTACCTTAGAGTTGACAAGCAAATAAATCAATCCCCTATTCTCGTCCGTATAACTCGAAACTCGTCTATTGACAGCCATCGAGAGATTCCAAATAATGACATTTTTACAACATCATATAGGTGTATCAAAATCAATATATATAAACAGTAGATAATTACATACTATGTTGCCAAGTCACATGTATGCACGTTTATGTTGAAGGAGTATTGTATGAATATGAATTGGGGTTATATAAACCTTCTGGTAAATTTCGCTGACAAACAACACCATTAAAGTAAACCTATGTAGTACTAGATGTAAGTATCATAATTTATGTAAATGTTTTTAATTTACATTTTAAAATTTTTCTTATGCAGTTTGTTTACCACCATTGTTGTTCCAATGCGATAATAGTAAATGCATTGACTCTGCCGCTGTTTGTGATTACAACGATGACTGTGGTGATAACAGCGATGAAAGAAATTGTTTACCGATAGAAATTAGGTACTCACTACTTTACACTTTGTTAAAAGTTTCTTTTACAATGTTGGCTCCACTATTATATGTGAGAAACATGCAAATGTAATGTGCTCGGTGATTTGTTTGAATACTTGTAGTATATTTCCCTATCGTTTAATTGCTTGACCTCAATGAAGTAAAGAGCCAGTTGAACGATGGGAGATATTCTGTCATTGCGATATTCGTTGCCAGTGATTTCCAACATTTTATATCATTGTCAGCTGCATTCACAACTGCAACAGAAATCACACCAACCCGAAAATAAGACTTCGTGCCAGAGTAAACTGCCTTGATTGTCCTGACACTGTCCAACCAAGGATAGAATGGGGATTGTTTGAGACAACAGCCGGCATAACAACAGTGGACTCGTTTGCCAACATGACCAGTACAGGTATGGAAAACGTAGCACTGGCACTATTTACCTTTATCACAAATATTGTTACTAATAAAAGAAATACACCAAATATGATACTATAAACTGGACCAACATTAATGCAACATCCAACGTCCACAATATGATTTCGGTTGCATTCACCATGTTTAGTGTTGGATCAATTTGTGGTTTGACCCAACACAAATTGTAACAGGCATAATTTCTTCGCAATACATTCCGGGGAGGCGCCTATATTGACATACTAAAAGTCTAGGAAAATCTAGGCTTCCGTAATATACTTAATTTGCATATATTCAAAATGGCCGTTTGGTGCATTTTCACAACATGGAAAATATAACTATTAGGACATATCTTTAATTCTAGATGACATTTTTTAGATATTCAAGTATATGGTTTGATGTGTGTGAATGTATGTGATCGTAAAATATTTTATTGAATAATAATCCTATTTGCATAAAACCAATATGGCCGTCAAAATAGTATCATTTAAATGTGCAACCTTGGGCAGCCCCTCAAAGTCTGTTCCTCGTAATGACTCTGTGAGCCACGCCGTGGAATGAGGAGGGAACATCGATCCTAGTGACCCGATATTCAACCACCCTCCCCACGCTCGATCCTGAAACAGTCACTCTCCAGGATCCAGAGTCCTACATTCGGTATTGCTTTGGATCCCACCGAGTGCTGGACGTAGGGGGAAACGCACGGACGGAGTTGATGGGCGGACCTTGGTGCCCCCCATCAGGTTTTGCATGGCTCCATACGTATTCACCAGAGTGTAGAAACAGGTGGTGCTACTGCTGCTTGAGTACACATCACATCGGTAAACATCAACGTGTACCTAGATGGCTGGTTGCCATCCAACCAACAAGGGGTGGTTAGTCAAACATTAAGGCTAACACCAGATTTTCTAGGCCAGTTGTGCTTCTAGTAAATCGAACACGTCCCACCCTCAACCAACACATCAGTTGCTGTTCCTGGCCAGGGAGTTCGACACAGAGGTGGTCTTGGTACAGTCATTGCAGACCCATTGCCTAAACCTAGCCGAACCCCTAGTCAGCGTTCCCTCTGTGTCCCTCCGAGAACTAAGTCGGATCATCGAAATGATGTCAGTGGTTCTCAGGGTAGTTCCGCCAGGCTGTGTTACGCAGCTACCCAATACAGCGCACTTTTGTTGCAACACCGGGCTCTCTTACGAGAACTTAAGAGGTGAGTAACACTCTCGGACCAAGCAAGGGATACCTTGCCTTGGTGGTCGGCAATTGCCAACCTCAGGCAGGGGGTCCCCTCGCCACGGCTATAACATTGGAAACGGATGCCTCCCTTACATGTTGGGGAGCGCACCTATTGTACAAGCCCAACGGAAAATATGGCCCCTGCGTTAGATTCAAGACTGCCATATCAACTGGCTCGAAATGAACGAAGTGTGCTTAGCACTATTTCACTTTATACCCATAGTTCAAGACCACAGAGTTTTATTTCACACGGACAACACAGTGGTGGTATCCTATAGCTACAAGGAGGGGGCACCAGATCCCCATCGTTTTCAGTCCTAGCGGAGCAAATTTTTCCTTGGTACCTGGAATACAGCGGTGTACCACTTACACGCATCTAGGCTTTCAGTTGACTCACTCAGATTTATTTCTGACTGGGCTGCCAACGTCTTGGCCAGGGCAAACAGGAATCCCACCAACACAGCCTACACCTCGAAATGACATGCGTACACTGATTTGTGTAGTGGAAGGGACATCCATTTGTTGGCCAGACAGCTGACTTTCCGTCCACCGTTTGAACGAAATGGACATGTCTTTTCAGCTATTGTTGGCTATATGTCAGCCTTGTCACCCACCATTGGGATTCTTGGGGGACGGGGCTAGCCGGTTGTCCTACCATTAGGAGACTGTTTACTGTTTAATCAGAGGCCTGACCTCGAGCGAGGGAGACAACCAATTGGAACTTATCGGTTTTGTTGGCCACTCTAAGCAGACTGCCCTTTGAGCATCTCCGATCGGCACCACTCAAACTTTTGACTACTGACAAGAAGACAGCAACTGAATTTCTCTTGAGGATAGTGAGATGCTACTGCTCCACACACTGTTGCAGTCTCAGATGTACCTGCAGAAAGCACAACCTTGAATGTTCTGCAGTTTGTGGTCATGATCAATGTCGAGGATCTGGATGCACAAATGTAGTTCAGATATCTGATGAAGATAGCGATGATGATTATCAATTACATTAATCAAATAATAAACTTTTGGACAGAATTATAACTATTTAATACAGTTTGTTAAATCAAAAATATAGTTTTAGAGTAGAAAATTTACGTTTAAATGGTCTATTATGTATATAGTATATCATATTTTTTTAGATGTGACAGCCATGTTGGATTTATGCAGATGAAGCATCCTTCTACCCAGGAAACCATTTATTTACATCTTTTCTGTACTGTGCGATTCTGTTTAAAATTGGATTCTAGCATCTTAAACTTATTACTTATGCCACATAGAAGAGAAGCCGGAAGAGAAGTTACATTAATAATTATATTATCGCGGCTATATTGAATTTATGCTAATTTTCATCTACCCAATCAACACATTTGGCACTCTCATACCTTCTCCGACTTAAAACAGCACCATAGCATCATGATTTTTTAAAATACCTCATCTATAATTAAAGATATGTCAAAATAGTTATTATATTTCCATGTTGTAAAAATGTGCAAAACGGCCATTTTGAATATATGCAAATTAGGTATATTTCGGAAGCCTTGATTTTCCTAGACTTTTGGTATGTCAATCTAGATACCTTTCCGAAAAGCACCGTGAAAAAAATATTTCTGTTGCAATTTGTGACGGGTTGCCCCCCCTTTTTTTGCTAGAATGACTGGTCTATGTTGGCGAAGAAAGCAGAAACAATGGAAACAGGAAAGGGGTTATAATCTGTGTTATCAGAAAGCGTCATTAAAATACCGAGGCCACTCACGAGGATTTCCTTTTTAATGACCTCTAAATATGCATGGAACACATCATATCGTTATTGTGTCATTACAGGAATTACTGGTGATTATATTATTATCAAGAAAAACGAGTTAGGAGGCGGTGAAAGATATGCATTGTTTGCATGGGCGACTCATTCTGCTTATACATTCCCGAAACGTACATACGACTTTACTGTGAACGAACCTCCCTCTGGTGGGAATTGTTTTGTTTCACCTGTAGTAGGTATGTTCTCTAAATATTTTAACTTTACATATATTTTTTTTATTTGCTCTTATAGGCCACTGGCCCCTTTTGCTTATTACAATACTGATGCAACAAATCTTTGGTCAAAGGTCAAGTACATCTTGTCTCTTGTATGTTCTCTAAATGAAATAGTTGAACATACTTTTCCAAATATTGAAGAAGAAAATAAATATTTTAGCACCAAAATAGGACCCTTTTATAACCGCTTTATTACTTTCCAGGGGTTGCACTGGCTACACTGTTTCGCGTGGAATGTAATAGTATCGCTGATGCCGACGGAACTGTTGTTTCTTATGAAATATTTGGACGTCCAATCGGGACGCAACTGTTATCATCATTGATAAAAGTCAATTCGCTTGGTGGCGATTTAAATGTGACAGGAATACAATTAGCAATGGGGTTTGCTGAATACGACTATGATGTTAGTGTAAAGACCAGGGTATATGACACGTACGGTGCATACAGTGACTATAATGTGCGGATAAAGGTAATGTCATCAATTATATAAATATACCAGATGGCATTTTGAACTCCGCCTGTATGTTCACAAACAAAAGCCAGTTACCCTACAACGCGATAGAATAACAGTGTGAATTCATTTAACTAATACAGGGAGCTGGATGTGTAACAAGGTTAATTGTTTAATGAAACAGCTTGTTTTGTCTTGTTACGTCTCAAATAAATGATAAAGCTGTTACTGTTTACGCCATAACTGCCGATACAATAGCCCATTTGATCGTTCAATGGGTACGTAATTACATTTTCGATTTCTTTCTTTAGCATGAACAAATGTCAGTGTTACGTAATGTAGAATTGTACCATGGGATAATTATTTATTATTTTTATGTTTATTCTACCAGACGACATTTCCGGATATATATTTTTTACCATATTTCCTGATTCAAAAGCGTTTTTTAGTGCTATTGAGCTAGTCGCCTGAATCCGATACCACGTGTTTGAAATACACGGTAGACTGTACTCTGATTTGTACTGCTGAGTAAAACATCGACTCCAAGAATTGTTCTCGCAACCGACCTGACACAAGATTAACACGCTAACAAATATACCATCGCTTAATCTTCACATTTTGCTTTAGATTGTTCTCCAGTATATTTTCCTCATTGCCGAAAAGCTAAAAAATATATATATATATTCTATGTTCGATGTCTTTGTTGAATTAGGTTTATCCGCCGAACAGTTCGAACGCTGAAGCAATCGTGTTCGAGATGATTTATCAAAATGGAACACTTAACAAATTACTTGAAGATGAAGACCTTTCTCGAACTTTAACTTTTTTGTCCGTAGCTGCATCCTTGTTAAATGAGGTGAAATTGTGTTTACATTTACTCATTTTATGTCTTGCGTTTGATTAAAATTGTATACTGTATAGCAATGATATGTTCTCCAACTAATTTGCATAATGTTTAATACATTCGCGAGTCACACATGCTCTATCGCATTTACCTTTTGTGTATTCGTGTTGCAGCACGAAATTGAACTGTTTTTCTGAAATAATTATATCATTGCCGAATTGTTCATTGAGTACGCCCTCTCCCGTTAACCTGTGAATATTAATATTAATATTAATGGTTTGATTGACTTTTTTCAAATTTAGGCGACAAACGACACTGTCCAACGAAAGGTAAGTTCAGGGAATAAATATTGTTTTTCCAACATTGTTGCATTATGATAACACTGCGTGAAGTTTCAAAACCTACAAAACATGTATACACTTACTTACAGGCACGCCAAGAAGGTGTAAAAATTTTGGAGCAAATGCTGTCATGGAATGCAGAATACAGTGACATAGTATCCATAGCCAATTTATTGAATATGCTAACAGTGGACCCAGAACAACTAACATTACATGAAACGGTAATTCCAACTAATATTATAACCGTTATTATCATAATATCCTTTTTTTCTTTCTGTCAGGCGAACGAAGCAACAGCAATAATAATGTACGTATAGTGCGAAGAGCCATGCAAAAAATACCCATTCAATTACGTCACATTTTCCAATTTCACACCTATTATACATTATATATAATATCACGTGTCTAAAGTCGTCTACCGTGCATGCGCATTACCGTAATATTGTTTGCCTGTATCAATGGTTTTGCGCACTAATTCCTTTTATTGTTCAAATTCAATGGCCTGTCTGTTAAAGTGTTAAAACAGTAGATATAAAAAAAATCCTGCTTATAAACAGATAACTGATTTGCCGTCACTGTTACACAACAGTGATTAACAGAAGTTTGCTCGCAGGGAACGTTTTATTCTCTGCCCTTGAAATCACGGAATGCAATAACGTTTTCGTTTTCAACAAAATGTTCAAGTAATCATTATAAAGTTGCCATACAATCAGTAGTATGATATTCAGATTTTTTTTAAAAAGTGCTAGCAAAATATTAACAGGTTCTCGAGTTTTGATAGCGAAGTATGCCGGTCCCCTGAATGTGCGCTGATTGGAAAAAGTATTCTCGCATCGATCTAGATCCATTAGGGTTTAACCGCATGTCATCAAAATAAGACACGGTGACGAATAAAAACAACAACGTAACACAAGGACGGTATTAATAACCAGCGCCTCAGCGTACTTACATTGGTCAAGCTATTCTGTCCCGAGTTGTAATACCGCTGGACACGTAAATGACATATGACAGTTATTTTGGCCAAATATTTGCTCTTTAGCGTATTTTTGTTTCGGTTCGTTTTCGTAGATATCTTGCTTAAACAAATTGACGTCCACGATAAGTGAACTGAATGTCGAAGACAATGAAGACATTGTGGTGATTGCTGGAGGTGAGTACTGGTCGACATGATATAGGGTTGTTGTTACGAGCACACGGAAATATTACAACACGACCTAATTTATGTACATTATGTTGTTCATAGACTTCATAGAATCAGGATAACAATCTAAGGCATTTTATTGTTATGATATTGCTTGTAACCCCTGATGTTAATTGACTGCTAATATATATCTTGAAAAAGCACGTGACTTACTTCCTGTTATATTGGCAATATTATATGTGGTTCCGCATAATATACAAGGATGTGAGGTTCGTATTTTTGTAGAATCAGGAATATGAATTGCCAACATTCACACATTTTTGACACCAACGCAAACACTACATATGGTGGCTTTACGTTAATCAATTATACACAACTTAGTTTCTGCAGCAATTATCCCGATAGCCGTTGCGGCTTGCCAGTGCTCCTTAATACTGCATGAGTTAGCATTGTCATCGTAGTAACATTAGTTAAACGTTTTGTACATTAAAATAATACTTTACTGAAATATAAATTGATTTTTTTCATAGAAATTACCACAGTAGCCAGTAACATACTGAGTGGCGTGTCGTTTCGGAACGATTCAGAGGTAACTTAAACTTGTATTATTATTGTATGACACATCTATCAATCGAACAACACGAATGTTACCGCTGAAAGAAAGAGGACGGCTGAATCGAATGGCTCTGTTTATATGATAACTTGAGTGTGCAACGTGGTCGCAAAGTAAACGCGTTTACGAATAACTATCAGAATTACAAAACTGTATAAATATACGTGTTCACTTTTATTGGATTGCATCAGAGATTCTGGTATTTCAGTAGGTGTTGATTGACCTGATTCTGGGTCTGCAAATTGACAAATATGTGGAATGACGAAAACAATGGGTTCATTTCCACTGTTCCGTTAATCTACTAAATACTGCTATTGCATTAGTCAGAATATACGTCCATGCATTGATTTGCATATTTAATTGTTAAAACTGTTTATTGTTCTTATATTATCATTTTTGTGTTTTCGTAGGATCTCATACTTCTTGTTATCGATTCATTAGACTCTATTTCTACCAGCGTGCTCAACACCAGAGTACAAGGGGAATCGCCAGTTAAGATATCGAGTGCGACAGTAACTCTTGTTTTGGAGAGGGCTCACAAATCTCAGATTGTCGGTAAAAAGTTTATAATTAGGAATGATTCACTTAAACTACCCGATACAGATACCATGCTGCCCGAAGGAATGTATGAAGAATTTGTTGATATCAAGGTAACTGAGATTTACACTAAATATTATTGTACACTCTGAACAATGTTTTTTTTTCAAATTGTATTTGCATAAGATAATGTTGTACAAATGCAGAGGATTGTGATCTCATCGAACAGTAGTCAGTCTGGTACATCAGTATTCAAATGAATTGATTTCTTTACGTGAAATATGTCATGTTTGGACTGTTTAATTACACAGTATTATCATACAACTATTAACTGAATACACTGGTCACAGTCATACAAAAAAATATCGATGAATCAGTTTGTGAATAATAGTGTTATTGTTTTTTTTTTGCAGTTGAAACATTTTTCTCTCATGATATGGCCAGACTCAGATATCACAACAAATGTTTTAACGTTAGAATTATTTGATTCTGATGGAAATGCTATAGAAGGTAGGAAAAGCAAGTGTGCAACGTCGGACAGTACATATAATATAATGACGTGATATTGCGTGACGTGACGTGACGTTGCGTAATGTAGCGTAGCGTAGCGTGGTGTAGCGTAGCGTAACTTAGCGCAGCGAAGAGCCGCGCGGTATACAATGTGTTTAGTTTAACATAACTCTCATTAGATGGAGATTTACAATACGATGTCGCAAAATAGCAGTGTTGACATATCATTTACATATCTGTTTATTTGTTTAGTGAATAGTTTAGACGAATATATAGAAATCGTCCTGTATAATCCGTCTCAGCCTTCCACGCAACTGATACCATCAGAGCTCAAAATTGATGAAATGTTTATTGGAAGTATTGAGGTTTGTAGTTTTATGTATTACAATATCATCAGTTTTTGTACTTTCCATCTGACGCCGTACTCATGTTGTCTTTGTTGGTTCGGGAGATGAAATAAATACGATATAACTTTTGGAGATGAGTTGAAATAAACTGGACAACCAGAGCTTTCTGTTTCATACTTCAGATATTAAATGAATGACATAAAGAATGCTTTGTTGCAATGTGCTCTGATAAATTGAGTTCATGTTCATCTGCAGGTTAATGAAATGACCGGCATTTTGAATATCGTAGCGCTGCCTGACTTGATACAAAATAACGACATTTACGAAATCTACATACGAAGAGGTAAACGTCCAACAATATTGGATTATGACGTCAGGGCCACATTACCGATGGAAGAAGAATACGATGGCGCTGTTGAAGATGACGTCAGAGCTGAACTAAAATACACACTGATGTTAACAAGTGGCGATGTGGAAGATTTGGGGCAATACTTTATTGGGGTGTTGCCGGTAGAAGGTAACAGTATTGTGGGGACGATGATCTGATTGTTTGAATAAAGAGTTGTAACTATCAGGGACCCGAGAATGATGTTTGAATAAGCCTTGACAGATTCCTGACCGATATATGTTAATGTGTGTAAATTAAATATCTTCAAAATTATTACATTTCGAGCGTCGTATTGAAAGAGCACCAAGCAAAACTTCATTTCATTATACATAGAGTGTAACATCATATCGGTGAATATCTGACATGTGAAATTAACCACAGTTCGTGGCCCCGGCGGGGTGGAACATATTTTCCCCCAAAAAACAACACTTTTCGCATTCATTTATTTTTCATCATGGTTACTAAAGTCTGTTATAGTGACAGTGATTGCATCAAATAACATTTTTCAATAATGTTGGGAATAATTTGTCGACTTGCCAATAGTATTTAATTTTTACAATATTGATACATCTGGGCGGATGTTTAAGTGTTGTATTCGATCATATTTATTTAGTCAGTGATTCGCCTTCTTCTTCCAATATAATGTACTGTACCCATTGTCATTTGTCATGAAATATATGCTTGTCTCGGCGTAGAATCCCACAAGTAGATTCTCGACTACATTTATAATTTAACAGTTCTTCTCCCCATAGAAGCAGGTAATGTCACTCTCCAAGTATACGCTACATCGTGTATGTATCGCAATGGTGGATCAGACACATGGCACTCAGATGGTCTCATAGTAAGACACACTAAATTCAAACTGATTAATATATATTTAAAGGGTGGTGGTTGTCGCGCAGCGTATGTTTCGTGTAAACAAACAACGTATTTTACACGCGTTATGTACGTCGCTATGATTACCACATTGAACACGACGCGACTCGACGACCACCGCTCTTTATGACGACGTTCGTAGGATAGGGGCGGAGGCGTTTTCAACAATCGGAAATCTTCTATAATATACACGTCGATATATTCGTGGATGTCGTTAAATAATTGCTAGACTGTCATTAGGCGTTCTAAATATCATATCCCTGAATTACCTAGGCGACAATTGAGAGAATTAAATGCTTATAGAAATTGCACATACTTTACTGAACATTTTAATATCCGTCATTATATTCATAAAAGAATAACAATTTCAGTATATATGTTATCGGGGTAGCGTACAACTTAAGTATTCATGTGTGCATTTATAGTACAATCAGCCACGATCTATAAATATGTATACGGCACGCAATTAAAATTGAGTGCATATATAATATTTTTTGAGAATAAAAGTGTTCTTTATTGACAGGTATCTAAGGAATCTAATACCAAATATACCAAGTGTTACTCTAACCATCTGACATCATTCGGGGCGGGGTTCATCACGCCACCAAACACCATCGACTTCAGTACCGTATTCAAGAAGTTTGCCACCCTTGGGAGCAACGCTGCGGTATTTTCCACTGTTATTATTGTGTTGGTTGCGTACGCTGTCATTGTCATCGTAGTGAGAAGGGCAGATAAACAGGACAGACACAAGGTGCTTGTATATTTGACATATATCTAATACCTGTCTAATTATACATGAAACATATTCCATTTCAACCAATATAAAAGCTCTTCCGGCAAACTGTAACTACATAATTTTTAACGACATA